TCTAAACGGCGGGGTTTTGTAGAATTAAAATATATTAATAAAAATACTTATTAAAAGACAGTAATAAGACGGCGAAAAGCAGTCTATTTAATTAAAATTAGATAGATTTTTTCTGACTTCTGCCTGTTAATTATTTTATAAAATAAAGAAATAAGAGATAAGATAATATAAGAATAATCTTAAATAAATTATTAATAAAAATTACAGAATCTAAGAAAGATCTGGATATTATAATAATTTTTGAAAATTAATTATAAAATAATATTATTTATTTATTAAAAATCTATAGATACTTTGTCAGAGTTAATAATATATCTTAGAAATTTGACTTAGAATTAATAGAATAAATATTTTAATAGTTTTATATAGAGCTGAGCTTCTCGAAGTCTCTCTAAAACTTAATAAATATACTTTGTATAAGATTTTTTATCTGATAAAAAGATAAGAATATTATTCAGATATATTATATAAAAGTTATTAAAAAGTTCTCAAAATATAGTATATATATAATTTTGAAAAGTTGCTGAAGTATTAGTCAATTTAAATAATATAATTATATATTTAAAGTGGCTGTATTAAATATAAAATACTGTCTTCTATTTATTATCTTTCTTAATATAGATTTAATAATATATATTCTTGATATTAATCTTTAAAAAGTAGATATTTTTCAAAATTCTGTTAAGAATCTTTAAAATAAGAGATAAGAAATAATAATTCTTAATAGAAATTTTATTAAGATTTTTATAATTTATACAAAGATATAAGCTATTATTTTTTTTAAATATAAAGAGAATAAAGGCTTTAGCAGGACTCTTTGAAGATTAAATTTAATCTAGTTTTAGATTTTCTTTAATATATTTTTATAGAATCTTAAGTTCGGCTTTAAATAAAAGATATATTAGACTATAAGAGAATATTTTATTAGATTTAATATTAATAGTATAATTTACAGGGCTATAAAAAGATAGCTGTTAGAAGAAATTTATAGAGAATATATCTTAGAACTGCTTGAGTTCAACAGAAATTATCTTAAAATTTAATAATAAATCATAAGATTCTTCTTCTGATAGCTAGATATCTTCGGGAAGTTTAATAATAATATATATTCTTACTAAGTTTTGAGTTGCTTTAATAAATTAAGTAATAGAAAATAATAAAATAAATAATATACTAAATTATTACTGGCAGTTCTATACTAATAAGATAATATATAGATTATAAAATATAATTATTAAAAATAATATAGAGCTGTCTTTCAGTCAGGAATCCTGATTAATTTCTATATAATATTATTTAAAAATATAGATGTCTCCTCGCGAATTAATAGCGGTAATAGAAACTTTCTATATATTATAAATAAAAATAATAATTTGATTAATAGCTTTAATCTTTAACACAGTAATTAGAATATATTAAAGATTATAGACTTTAATAAACTAATAATTAATAATATTTACTTCGGCGCAGCTATTTAGATCTGTAAAGATTTTAAGACTATTTCAGATATAAATAGAAATATAAAAATAATATATAGTCTCTACTATAGATAAAGAAATTAAAATTATAAAATCTATTCTAACTTCTCTATTTTTTTCTCTGAATTTGATAAGAATTAGTAGATTCTAGTAGATTAGATTTTTTTATCTTTAATAAAATATTAATTTGCAAGATATTAAATATTTTTATATATAAAGTATTATAATTAATTACTATTCTTTTTAATAAGATTTTTCCTATGATTTAAGATATCTTTCTTAATAATTTTACTAGTAGTTTCTTAAAAACGCTTGCATGGTTTATAATCACTAAATTAATTATTATTTTGCTTGTGTTTTCCTCTATTTTCTTATAGTTTATAATAGTAAGTAATAATAGCTATTATTTTATCCTGCTTCTCTAATAAATAAGAAATATATTCTTAAATATAATAGTTTAGATCTGATAATAGCTTAGTAAAGTAGAATAAGATTTTTTTTTTTTCTGCTTAATAAGAAAAGTATTACTTTAAAATATTAAAATAAGTATAGAACTCTTGCGGATTCTGATTATATTATTAATAAGTCTATTTAAATTAGACTATAGTATTTAATTAAAAAATAATAATATTTTAAATTAATATAAGAGTCTAATCTTTGAACTAAGATTATAATTTCTTAAGAAATTATCTCTCTTCTGAACTCTTATTATTTATAAAATAATATTATCTCTGTCTATATACTGGATTTATATAGCTAATAATAGCAAGAATCTTATATTTCTCTGATAAATATTTCTTAAATATATCTTTAAATATATATTTTAAATTAATAATTTATTCTTAATATTTTTAAAGATTAAAATTCAGAACAAAGCGAGGAATATTTTTAAATTTAATCTTTTTTTTATTCTTTTCTAATTCGGGGGAGAATTAATAATATCTTAAGAAGATTTTACTTAAGAAGCTATTTCTTTAAAGATAAGCTATTCTTTACTGTAAGTTAATAGCTTATTTTAATTAATAAATATAATCTTCTAGCTGTTAAATCTCTTTAATAATAGAAATAATATTCGGCGAGAATTCTGAATTAATTTAATTACTAAATACTTCTATTTTTTTATTATCTTTAATAAATAGTATTTTTCTTAGATAGTCGAAAAAAGAAGAATCAGAATATAATAGAATCTACTTATTAGAATAAAAAGCCTGTTAATTAGATAAGAAATTAATTATAAAATACTATATATTTATTTAATAATAATAAAGATAATCTATATTTATAAGATAGACTAATTCTTAAAGAATCAGTAGCTTCTTACAGAGAAATCAATATCTTATAAATATCAGAGAGATATAGAACCACTATTAATAATCTCACAACTCTTATAATTACTATAATATATCATCCCGATAATACAACTCTCACAATCACTATAATATATCATCCCGATGACCTTTATCCCGATAGCTGGTTTATTCTATCACACAAGCCTAAATATATCTAAAGCTTTTTTAATAAAAAATAAAAACAGCAGATTTCTTATAATTATATATATATTTTTAATCTTCTTATCTTCTAGATCTAGTATTATATATTAGATTAAATAATTAAAATTATTATTATTATTATTATTTATTATTAAGATACCAGACTATTCAGATATAATTTCTAGAAAGAATTATTTTAATATAATATTTAATTTATTATTTTTAAATCTATATTTTTAAACATTATATTTTAATATTTAAACAGTACTTTATAATTTTAGAATTAAATATAAATAAAAATATAGCTTATTATTTATAGTAATTTTAGAATATATATATTTTTTATTAATATAATTACTGGAATTTTTAAATTAGTATTATTAATATTCAAAATCTATAATATTTTTTAAACATTATTTTTATTACTTACTTCTTACCATCTATCTTATATTAATATTGTTATTTCTTTTTTTAAAATTAAATAACCTAGTCTTGAATAACTTCATCTGAGTATTAATTAAAGCAATTGAAATTGTAATAATAAAAAGAATTATAGTAACTATCTTTTTTATAATTTTAATATAAAGATAATTAAAGTATTGCCTGATGTAGTTTCTTAATATTATTTTTAAATTTTTAAAGTAATATAATTATATAGATATAAAAAATACTATATTTAAATATATTATATAATTATATATTATATAATAAGCTGTCATAAATTTAAAAATTATTAAATATTTTTTTAAATAATAAAAATATTAATTATATTTATTATCTAAAGCTTTTTATTATTAATTATAATATTATAAATAATAGTTTATATATTATTAATAGATTTAATAAAAATATTAGAATTCTATAATTTCTTTTTTAAATTATTTAATATCTGATTTAATAATTATATAATTACTTATTTAAATTAATTTCATTATTTATAATAATATCAAGAGTCCTTAATAGATTATAATTTATTAAGATTAATAAATTATTTATAATTAAAAATAATAAGTCTCTGTTAAATCTATCAGATCTAGCTTATATATATAATAATAATATTAAAAGTAATCTAAAGATTACTGATTATAATTAAAGATAATAATTAAAAAAAAAATCTTTTTAATATATCTAATTAATTATACAAAAAAATAAAAATAAATTAATATTATTAATTATATTTATTTTAGCTATATTAAAAATCTAAAATCTAGATTTAGTAAATTAAATTATCTACATAATAATTTTAATAATAACGAAAATATCATTAACTTTATTAATTAATTAATATAATTAATAATTATAATATAAAAAACATACTAATCTAATATATAGATATAATAATATAATAATATTATAAAAAAGTTAAAAATCTATTTAATAATATACTACTATACTTTATAATACAGAAAATAAAAAAAAATTATTAATTTATTATTAAAGAAATTTTAAATTATAAGTTCAAGGCTTATAATCTGACACAAAAATAGCTATATAAAGTAATAGAAAAAATAGATTAATTCAGATAAGAGAAAATCAGGATCGCGGTGATTAAATAGAGTGGTGTGATTGTATGGCCCTGGAGTATCCAACCGCCAACATTATAGCTGTCAGTAAATAGATCTAAAAAATTATAAAGATAGTAATTAAATAGAATATATTATTAAATGATTATACTATTTTATTATATAACTATTCATTTAATTATATACATCTATATATATTAATTAAAAATATTCAAGATTTTTATTGTTAAATAGAAGCCATAATTTTAAAATTTCTAAGTAATTTAAGTAACATATATATAAGGCGGGCAGTAATCTAAAAACTATAAAGAACTCGACTAGGTCTTACTGTCTTATCTAGAATATCCTAGTAGAAGATAAGATAAAAAAAATCCCCACCGCTTGCCTATATAGGCTTAACAGCCTTATTAGAGAGCTTATCTGGGTACTGCCAGGCGGTAAGGCACTGCGACTACGGATTATCTACCTACAAGAGATCTTCCATGTTTTCTATTTCCGCGGAAACATCAATTCATTTGCTCAACAACATTCTGCTCTTTGAATGACATCTTCAAACCTGAGAGTTCTTCAGGACCATGTGTAAAAGCATCGCCAATGGCTACCAATAAGCGCAGGGGGTCCCAAGTATCTGCACCAGGAATTTCACATTGGAATCTTGCAGAGCCAGTCTCCTCAACACTCGCAGCAAACATTGTACCACATCTCTCATTACAGGGTGGTGGTGACACACATAGTCTAACCAAGGAGGCATTTTCACAACTTCGTCATGAGCTTCTTGAAGGGAAATATAGTTGCTTACAGCTTAATGATAGCATTGCTGATGTTAGCAAACTTATCTGCATTGTGTTGAAAGCGGGGTTGGAACCCTGTATCAAAGAGGATGGATGTGAACAGCAAGGTCTCCAGAGCCAACTGCTAGACTGCTTAGATATTCTCCTCCACACTGCCGTTGACAAAGCCCCGTTGGCACTCCTACAAGTCCCAGACCCAGAGATCCTAGGGCAAGATGCAAATGTCCCTTTGTACCACTGGCTACTTGTCTTGCTGCTCCAGCTGTTGGCTGCCCGGGACACTGACCGCATTAGAGATAGAACAAGTGATGTTCTCTCTGGTATTGTCAGTCTCTCTAATCAAAACACCAGGCTGTGGCCCTCATTCCTTGGTATTTCTGCATTTGTACAAGCTTGCACGACTGGTCTGTGAATTATCTATTTTTGTGCGGAATACTGAATTGACTTGTTTTAGACCTGATTTATTCGCTTGAATCTTTCCTTTCATGTGGAAACCCCATTTATTGCATGATCAGCTCGTCTGTACCTACACCAAGGCAGCCATTTATTTTGGATCTGGAGAGACTTGGCCTTTGTCACGGGCCTCTTACCAAGAGGATCAGAGTTAGAATATTTCCACAAGCAGTTCATCTATGTCTCAATCTGCTTCACTCCACGATGAAAAGCTATGTGACCTACAACTTGCCCTCTGATCAACAGAACCTGGCTTGGATCTCTAATAGATACCAGCGTATATGGAAACTCACCCTGGTCTGCCTTCGCAGTAGAGATGCAGATTTCATCTTGAGCAAACCCCAAATTTGCTTCCAGCTAGTGAAAATCATCCATGGCCTCTGTGACCATGGCTTACATATGTCATCGTCAAAAATTGGGCTAGCATACCTTTTCCGCCAGATGTTAGCTGAGATTCTAGCCCTAGACAACTTGAATCTGTCTTCCGCTCTCCAGGTCAACCTGAGCAATTGCATTTACAGTTACATCAATGCCTTTGGCTGCACGGAAGATTTCATCCAACTGGCGAGGAGTACCATTCCCCTCGTCAAACCAGGACTTCGCCCCTCTGATTCTTTGGTTCCTTGTCTTCAGGTATCCATCCCCATGACATACACAATACACCAACTCTTCCTGACTATATTGTAGGATACAGTTGAAAGTTTGCTTATGTCCGGTTGCACAAATCCAATTAACTCTCATACTGAGAGTCCACCCGTCAACATCTGCATTAGAAATGTCCAAAAGTCAACTGGTATCATTCACCGGTTTACAAATTACTGCCCGGCAACCAGCAGTGGTGGAGCTATTAGCATGGCTGGACAGCCCTGCTGCGCGGAAGCAAAACAAATCACTCTAGCGCAAAAGCTAATAGCCAAGTCTTTTGACTTACTCTGCTGCGAAAACACTGGAGACTTGAGAGATCTATCTACTGCTGTCCGGTGAGTAAAGTCGTATATATCTCAAAATTTTGAAACCTAACGCCAGATTGGGAAGTAAAACATACTTTGGACTGGAGGAGCAATCCAAACTCGAGTTTCTAGGGGTTCTAGACAGCATTCCATGTGCCATAGCCGGAAGTTTGACTGGTCCCATGGACGTGAGCTCGAAAGATGTCTTTCTTTGCAGACTTTGTCACTATGAAGATGACGGGCTCAATATAGAGGCAGACTGGCGATGCACTGATACAAATGAGTTGTACCAGATCTTGGTCTACATTATACCTAAGCTTACACGCAATGCAACCTTGAGGGTTGCTGCAATTGTTGCGTTGAGAAAGGTATTGATGCATGCCTCTAGCTCGTCTTATATGCAACTCAGATCCTCTGTTTTCGGTGAATTTTGTCTGCAGTCTCTCCGAAGCTCGGTCAGAGAGCTGCGTATCATTACAGGGTAAGTTATCCCCCGGGCTTTCTTGACTTTCAGAGTGCTCACTTTCCCCAGGCATTCCATTACTTCTTTTGTCCGTAGAAGTATGGATTGCGAGATTAGAAGGAGCAACTTTGTTGTCATTCTAGATTGGTTACAGACCCTGTCCGACAAACAGGAGATACCTTTACATGAGACCTGCATCATAACTCTATGTCGTCTGGCGAGGTGAGTAACCTTCTCAACAAACTGTGTGTAGTGGTTGACATTTCGGAACATTACAAGGCTTTCAAGTGATGAAGAAATGAATATTATACTTTTGCGTCTCGTAGAGTATATGGGCCACCCGAACCAGTTTGTATGCGCAGTGGCTTATACTGAGGTATGTGTGAATCTTAGGTTGCCATTAGATGTTGAACAGAATCCGTTGCTTTTAATTGTCGGATTTCATTATAAACTGACAAGTATCAGCTCATGAGCCTTGCACAGCATCTTTCTCTTACTCCAGCCGGCTTGTTTCGGCCCTTTTGGAGGACCTTATCGTTGACAATAGTTAAAAACTTTCAATCACGTCCTTCTATGGCGGAGCAGCTCTGCGACTTCTTGGGCATGAAAGTAGATGATCTTCTTAGGCTGACTGAGATCTTCGTGCTTCCATATTTAGTACTCACGCGAAAGCGAGATATCATCACTAGAGTGGGAGCAACATACAAAGATATCAAGACCCCTTTTGATATTTGCTCAGAGAAGAACAACCTCGCCTCAATTCTCGCATTCTTGCTAAGTCAACCCTCATCTGATCCAGAGGAATTCATAATGTCGGCTTTGTCGGAGGTAGATGCAGCCTTTAGAGGCCGTACCCTAGCGGAACTTCTAAGGATTGAGCCAATTCTGATCGCTTGCGACCTGCTAAAGGGTCTTGGAGATTTGGGTGAGGAGAAGGGGACACGAGTGAGTTAGAAATGGGTTAATGAAGCATTTGATACTAACCAAAGGGCATTGCAGTTCCGTCGGGCACTTTATCTTTTGGCTGTTCGAGTTCCACGAAAGTCTGGTCATGCGCCAAGGCGCGCCAGCTCGATAGGGCATTTCATTGAAGAGCATGTTCTCGGTATAATAACTCAATTTGCTCACGCAATAAATGATTTCCAGGTCAGACAGCCCCTTGTTGAAAAGAAGAGAAACATCGCAGCTATTGGGGAAATGATTAAGGTTGCTCGCGGCCATGTCAGCAGCGCTTTGCCACAGGTCTGTGTACGAACCTATCCCAGCGCCTGAATAATAGGACTAAGAAACACAGATATGTGCCTGCTTACGATCCGCTCTTGAAGTTCAAGGCTTGTGTAATAGTGCCTTCGCAGTCTGGGGGGTTTTAATCAATACTCTACAAGAAGAGGAAGTTGAACCTCTTCTTGATCAGACACTGTCAATTGTGATTAGGTACTGGAACATGTTTTCCGAGGACACTAGAAGTCAAGCCTGTGAGCTTATTGAGTATATCATGCAGTCTCATCGTGAATTAGTGCGTGAAATCTTCCTCACTATGCCTTCATTGGCTTCGATTCCGGCACTGTCAAAATATGAAGCCGAGTTGAACGAGTTGAAGGAGAAAATGGATGTTCGAAGCCAACTCCAAGCATTCATCCGTCGATGTCAAAATGAAAATGCTACCGTTGTTGAGCAAGCTTTACGAGAACTACTTCCTTACCTCTCTAGGAATGAGGAGTTTGTCCATGGGTCTGTTCTCAGTGAACTTCCGGATCCAGTTGTTTCACAGTTGGCACGGTCCTTACTCGACTGTTGTGTAAAGTTTAACACAAGCTCAGAAGTCATAACAGTCTTGTTGGCTCGGTGCCTGGGCTTGATCGGTTGCCTTGATCCGAATCGAGTGGATACGGTCAAGGAAAAGAAAGATATCTTGGTTTTATCAAATTTCGACAACATGCAGGAGACCTTTGACTTCATACTTTTTTTCCTTCAGCATGTCTTGGTCAACGCTTTCCTGTCGGCTTCAAACACCAGAGCTCAAGGGTTCCTCGCATACGCTATGCAACATTTACTCGAGCTGTGTGATTTAGATTCAGCTGCCGCCAATCGCTCTCACGACATTGGAGCGGATCGAAAAAGCCGACGTTGGCTAGAGCTGCCTGAAACTGTCCGCAATATCCTGACTCCCTTTCTCAGCTCAAAGTATACAGTTACTATTGGCACTATTAACACTAATTGCAGCTATCCGCTGTTTTCAGCTGGGTTGACACACGGCAATTGGCTGCGGAGTTTTGTTCAGGATTTGCTGCACAGCGGGAACAATGATAATGCAAGGCTTTTATTCCATGTTTGCAGTCGCATTGTCAAAGGGCAGGATATATCAATAGCATCTTTCCTATTGCCATTTGCAGTGCTTAACCGCACAGTAACTGGGACTGAGAAAGAGAAACAGGATTTGCAATGCGAGCTTATAAATGTTTTGTCTCACCCGCTTCCTGATACAAATAACTTTTTACATGAAAACATCATTCTATGCAGCCAGGTAAGTGCTATAATAAGAAGTATATGCCACTACTAACCCTTCTGAACTTATGATTGGTACAGAGTGTCTTTGAAGTGTTGGATTATCTTTCCAGGTGGCTGCAAGGCAAGAAAAAACAAATCAATGGCATCAAAAACCACAATCAGCAGTCGCATCGGGCTAACAAGCAAACCTCCCGTGATGTACTACTAAATACATACACCTTACAAGTCAAGGCTTTAGAGGGACTAATGGCTTCAATACCCCCAGAGATCATCTCTAAAAGAGCTGTTGAGTGCAAGTCATTTTCGCGAGCCTTGTTTCATTGGGAGCAGTACATTCGACAACATAGAAGCCAAGCAAGCAAGCAAGAACGCACCCATGTTGAATCTCTTTATCATCGATTGCAGGATATTTATAGCCAAATCGACGAGCCTGATGGCATTGAGGGCATTTCAAGCCATTTGCATGTGCTTAATATCGAGCAACAGGTTCTTGAGCACCGAAAAGCTGGAAGATGGGCTACGGCACAAAGTTGGTACGAGTTACAACTCGAAAAGGAACCCAATAATAGCGAAGCCCAATGGAATCTGCTTACGTGCCTCAAAGAATCAGGGCAGCAAGGTACTTGCTCAGTCAAGACCCTTGCTCTAGCTAAGATATCTTCACTAACATTCACAGATGCGATTCTCACGCGATTCGAGATCATGAGGAACAATAGCCCAATTAGAAAATTCCTTCCTTTCGTGGTTGAAGCGACATGGATCACCGGAAACTGGCGAAAGCTACATGAGTACCTTCAGCTGTCTTCTCATCAGGGGACAGAAGATTTCAATATTAGGGTCGGGTTAGCTTTGGATGCTTTCCGGCACGGTTGTGATACAGAATTTGAGGAGCACATGAATGCTTTACGTTTGAGTGTCGCCAAGTCCTTAACCACCAATTCAGTAGCATCATTGCAGTCTTGCCATGATAGCATTTTGAAGCTACATGCTCTACATGAGGTGGAATCTGTAGCTCGAACCAGATACGAGGACAGTGGGAATGGCAGCTTACTCTCAGGACTAAATGATATTCTGGATCGGCGTTTAGCCATCCTTGGGGGCTACATATCTGACAAGCAATATCTTCTAGGCCTTAGAAGGGCAATGATGGAACTGACGTGTGTTTATTCTCTTCCATTTGATGTGACAGTCACGAGACATGTGCTGATTAAACCCTCAGGGGCAAATTTGCTGATTCAGATATAGCTGCTGCTTGGTTAACAAGTGCACGTCTCTCCCGAAAGGGTAATTTTACGAATCAGGCATATAGGTCAATGCTTCATGCATCGAGTTTGAAAGACGGATCGGCCACTATCGAGCATGCTAGGCTTCTTTGGAAAGATGGCCATCACCGAAAAGCAATACAAACATTAGAAGGTGCAATTGCTGCTAATAGGTATTCTTCAGATTCATCCCCAATCGAAAGGCATGCATCAGCCTCTCTGGCCGGAAATCATGAAAAGCAACAAAACCTGCTTCTTGCTAGGGTATGTTCAGATTCCAGACTAAATAAATAGTACTGCTAATTTTATCAAAATGTCTAGGCACATTTGCTCTTGGCAAAATGGACAGATAGAGCTGGACAGACACAGTCCGACGTTATTGTTCAAAGATACAGGGAGGCCATAAAACTCCATTCTAGGTATGTTACCCGTGTGTATATGAGACAACAAAAGTATTGTATTATCATCGAGGTCCAAGCTGACCGAGTAGCAGGTGGGAGAAAGCTCACTACTACCTGGGCAAGCACTACAACAAGATCTTGGATTCCGAAAAATCGAAGCCGGTGGGGAAAGAGGCTCAAATATAGTAGGTACTTTTCACTCGGATGAAGTTGCACTGACTCATCTATTGCACGGCTTGACTGGCGAGGCTTCGAAACTTGTTGTAGATAATTATCTCCGCTCATTGGCACATGGGAATAAATATGTCTTCCAGTCCTTGCCCAAAATTTTGACACTTTGGTTGGAACATGCCTCCACTATTGGCCAGCCAATTGACCCGAAGAAGGGAAACAATGAGTGAGTACTTTTAACATCGATTAGTCCCATGTCTTTATGGGATTCCTAATCCATACCAAAGGCTAACAAAGGTCGAAAGAGAATTCCAAAAGCACACCTTGAGTCAACGAAAGAAAAGTCTTGATGAAATGCATTCCCAATTGAAGAAATACGTGAACAGGATACCAGCACCACTAGTGAGTCTTCCAATCAGCTGCCTGTTGGGTGCTTTCTTAACTGAAAAAGCTCTTTACAATCCTTCCTCAAGTGGTTGCTCGGATCTGCCACCCGAACACAATAGTGCACGATCTCTTGACCAAGATTGTTGCCAAGGCAGTCAATTCTTTCCCTCAGCAAGGCCTCTGGACAGTTCTTGCTGTGGTTAAGTCTTCTTCAAAGGATAGGGCCTCTAGAGGTATCAACTGCCTCCAGAAAATAATAGTATGTGATAAATATCATTTTCTGATTCAGGCACTAATTGTCGCAGGATTTCAACAAAAAATTAAAGACTGAAACCCACAGTGATATGCGTGCCATGATAAACCAAGGACAAAGATTTTCAGAGGAGATGTTGAAGCTGTGTACTGCACGCATTGAGGACAAAGTCGCAAGGGTTAATCTACGGGCTTTGGGATTCAACAGCAAAGTAGCACCTTGTCGGCTTGTGGTGCCTTTCCAGGCCATGATGACACCGATCCTGCCAGCTAGCCATGAGCCTGAGTATTTGAAGGGCTTCCGGGCCTTTCCTAGAGACCCGACAACAATCGAAGGTACGGCCCCCTCGTTTTCAGATGAAACAGGATTGCTTGCGTAACTGCTTTTAGGCATACTCGATGATGCACAGGTTTTAAACTCGCTCCAGAAACCCCGGAGGGTTGGCATCCGAGGGTCAGATGGAAGGGCTTATAATATCCTATGTAAACCCAAAGATGACCTTCGCAAAGACCAACGCCTGATGGAATTCAATAATATGATCAATAGGTTCTTCAAGAGGGACGTGGAATCAAGCAAACGTCGAATGTGTGAGTTTTCTGTTTTTGATATAAGACTCATGGCCCGTCCATTGCCTGCTAACTCAGAATGAGGTGAGAAAGATATCAAGACATATGCCGTAACGCCACTGAACGAAGAATGCGGCCTCATCGAGTGGGTTGATAATCTCAGAACGTTGAGAGACCTTGTCATCAAACTACTAAGGGAGAGAGGGATCGCACCAAATGTAAGCTATTTGTTGTTCCAATGGCGACAACTTGAGACGTCACGTAGCCACTAAACTGAATATACACCAGTACAATGAGATCAGACATAATCTCAATGAAGCATGCCAGGATGTCGCAAAACTCTACCTATTCACGACCAAAGTTCTGTCAAAGCAAGTACCAAACAATGTATATGATGGTTTAAACTAACACAAGAACAGGTTTCCACCAGTTCTATATGAGTGGTTTATGGAAATGTTTCCCGAGGCAGGCGCATGGTTTGCAGCGAGGCTTCGTTTCACCCGATCCTGTGCTGTCATGTCAATGGTTGGATATGTCCTAGGGTATGCCGTATCCACTTCATCAGGTATTCCTTGGGTGCTCAAAATTTGTCTTCAGTTTAGGTGATCGACACGGTGAAAATATCCTATTTGAGGAAGGAACAGGGGGTATATTACATGTCGATTTCAATTGCCTCTTTGACATGGTAAGGCGCGCCCAAAAAGCCGACTAGCTTGATATCTCCTAGAGCTGACCCCTATAGGGTTTAACATTTGATAAACCTGAGTTGGTTCCTTTTCGTCTAACACAGAACATGGTTGATGCATTTGGCGCCTACGGATACAATGGTCTGTTTCCATTGGATCATGAAGCGTTGTCTTCGCTAGGCTGACACTGTCAATAGGCCCATTTCGCAAAACATGTGAAGTCAGCCTCGGTCTACTTCGCCATAACGAGGATGCGCTCATGACGATCCTGGAGACGTTCTTACATGACCCTACCACAGAGTTCATTGGCAAAAAGGTTGGTTGCACTTGATTACCAAAAAAAATAAACTAAATTTCTAATATGTTAAAGCGTCGTACCCATGCGGGCGTCCCAGACACACCTGCTGGCGTTTTAGAGAATGTCCGGAACAAACTTCGCGGTCTTCTGCCCAGCGAATCTGTTCCCCTTTCAGTGGACGGTCATGTAGACGAATTGATTGTACGAGCAAGCGATAAAAAAAACCTAGCCGCTATGTACATCGGGTGGTGCGCTTTTTTCTAAGTTGATGTATCCCCTTTTTGCATGCCATTCATCTGAATGATTCTCACCTAATTTGGATTGCCGCCCGGGAATGAGAGTTTGTCAACTAATCATGAGAACGATGTATTATTTATTACATGCCTTATCTTCGGTCCGAGCTACTCCGTATCTTCAACGCCTGCGCCCGGGTTTGGTATTTCGAATTTATCGTTACCTATTTTAGCCTCGGGATGTTCGACGCATGAAAGATACTAAGGTGATGTTACCTTTTTGGCCTATGACCAAAACCACCTTTTTTCATGCAGTGATAAGTAGCGCGGTCTTAACGAGATTCATGACGATGGCGATCTCTACCTGGGCTTAAACTCCGGCTTCTCCCACTTCGACTGCTATAGCCATAGCTACTGTAGCTTGGACTGCGGCGTCGACGGTGATGAAAACTATTCGTGCGCGATTGTGCCTTCCGTCTTGGTGGTGATATGGACAATGATTTGGAGGAGAGTGATCGAGAAGGACGTGGGGATCTTGAATGGGACAAGGAAAGTGGCCGATAGATGTCAGGTTTTTCTATATGTCGGGAACGGCGGAACCTTCCTATAGATGTCGTCGATCTGTGTGGAAATGGAGAGGCGCGGGAAGTAAAGCCGTCCGATGGGGGTCCGCGACCATGATCTTGACGACTGAAGCTTCCTCTACCATTTTGGGATGGCGGGGGTGATCGCGAAAATGCTCGCCTTGGAAGGACAATAGACACATTTAGAATGGCACCGTCGAATTGGGCTTCGTGCATGTGCGCAATAGCCGCTTCTGCATCTGCGGGGTCGTGGTAGAGTATATATGCACAGCCTCTATTTGTCATGACTAGAAATGAGTCAGATAAGTAAACCGACGGTGCTCTAAATTCCCTCTTACAAGCTTTATTCATGGGGATGTCAAGGCTTTTTATATCCCCAAAACCGCCAAACACTTCGCGAAGGTGTGATTCGTTGACGTTTTTGGTCAACTTTTCAATAATTACCTTCGGTTAGGATTAGCATCAGTACATGCACTACATCCCAATAAAGTTACCAGCTATATTGACGGACCTTTGAGCTTCTTGGGTGGTTGGTCGACGGGCTTGGGGTGCGGCTGTTCTCTCTTTTTCTGTACCGTCCAGAAGTTTCACTTCGGCTCCGACTGCGAGATGGCACCTGAGGTCGGGACTCAGTGTGAGACTGGCTCCTAGAGTGGCACGCACTATGACGGGTAGAATCACGCTCAAAAGACCGACTTCGTGAGGTACTATTGAGTCTTGAACCCGAGCGAGGGGATACGGAGCGTCTTAACAGGGTGCTTGGTTCGATTTCCAACAGTGGCGAACGAATTCGAGAGCGCCCACGGAAAGGCCTCTCGGACATGATGCGATCAGGTATTCGTAGAAGCGTTTTAGAGATCACCTAGGCCAACTATCTGTGACTGTTAGAAGGAAAGTACTTTATCATTAGAAACAAAAGTCTGTTGATCTGATAAAGAATGGTAGAAAAATCGTATTCAACAAGATTGTCGGATGACCAAGATCAAGGATGTCAATGTTTGTATATAAGTAGCCTATTAATTGGAATGGAATAAGTCAAGGAGGATGAGGGGAGGTGGAAGTGATATTTGTTAGTAGATAGATACTCTGCAATAGGCCGCTTCCATGTCTCAAGACTAAATGCCGCCGAATGGGGTTAGATCATGTTCGAATGTTCCGCCTCTCTGGAATTCCTACGGTTCAACACCCTGCTTCTTGGAAACACTTTGGTACTGCAGGTGCCTGTTTATTTGTATCATATATATATAGAGAAAGGTTGGCGGCAGAAAGGTATACACTTTTGATTCTCAGATCACTGGTTAGTCAGTTTGGCTCATTATCTAAGTATATACTTTGATTACTATTATATGATTAATTAATTATTCTGCAGATAGTTTGATAAATTTATTTTATTCAAATATTATTATTTTATAAATTATATTTATTATACATTAGTTTTATTGTTTATTTATTAAATTTTATTATTCATAAACATTCTGTTGATTTATTTTATTAATTATTTGATTATCTTATAGACTATTATAGAAGTATATAGAAAATTTAATAGCAGAAAAGTATATATTCTTAATTTCAGAGTACTAATTAATTAGTTTAGCTTAATATCCAAGTATATATTGTGATTACTATTATCTGATTAATTAATTAGATTAATAATTCTGCAGGTGGTTTTATTGATTTCTTTTATTAAAGATATTCTTTTTCAAAATATAGGCAGGCAGAAAGTAGAACAGATACTAAAACAGACAGACAGATTCCAGACTTAGTGTTATAAGATTCTTGTATAAATCCTTCAAATCCCAAAGACTTAATAATACCTGCGCAAATACTTTGTTCAGTATACTATAATTAAATAAATAATTAAATAAAATAAGAAATAGTATTATATAAGAAAAATAAAAAAATATAATTTAAATATTTTTATTTTTATTTTTTAATTAAATTTTTTATATTAATAGTTAATTATTAGATTAGCTTAATTTAATTATTTCTCTAATATTAAAAATTAATTATTATTAAGAGATAATTTTTTAAGAATTAAAAATTATTTAATAACTTATATAAGTAGTATATATTTTATAAATAGATTTGAATAATTAATAATTATATTTTAATTAATACTAATAAAAATATTAGATAATAAACGCTTAGCTATAGATTTAATTAAAAAATTTATAATAATAGTTTATATTATTATTTATATTAATAATACTTTTTTAATTAATATTTAATTATATAATCTTAGACTTATTTTTTAAATTCTAAACTTTTTTAAAAAAGATCTTAAAATATATATATATATTTTTTAAATAAAAACTTTGTATAAAATTTCTTATTTATAAATAATATTTTAGAAATAAAATAAAAAAGTCTATTATATTTATAATTATTTTTAGAAAAAAACTAAATAATATGTATTTTTCTAAATTATATTTAAATAAAAAACTAATAAAATTATATAATAAGATAATTTATTATAATTAATAAATTAACTATTTAAAAATCTAAATATAGAAAGAAAGACTTTTATATAAATTATAATAATAAAATAAAAAAAAAGCTTAAAAAAGAATTTTAAAAAATTTTATAAAACTTTTTTTACTGCTGATAATATTAGCTAATTAAATAATTTAAAAAAACTAAATTTAATATTATTATTTACTAAATAATTCTTAAGAATATAATTAAAAAAAAAAAACTGATTTATATAAAAAATACTATAATTAACTTCTTAAGATTAATTATAATATTTATTATATAAATATTCTCAAATAAAATTTTTATTATTTAAATATTTTTTATTTATATTTAAGAAGAGTAATCTAGATAAGATAAATTAAAAAATTATATTAATTAAGATTATAACTCTTTATTTAAAAAATTCTAAAAAAAGAATTTTTTAGAAGAATATTACTCTATAATAAGTTTTAAAAAGAATTTAAAAAAGAAGATAAAAAGAACTCTGTTTTAAATGTAAAAATAATAAATATTTTATATAAAATTATAAAAATAAATTAAATAAAATAATTATAATAAAGTCTATCAGAATCTTAAATAATAAAAAATTTAAAAAATAAAAGTTTTATATAAAATTATATATTAGAGAATATTAATAATAAAAGAATATTATTAAATTAAAAATATTTTAAAAAATTATATTTAAATAGTTTTTTTTATAATATAAATATTAATAAACAATAACTGTCTAAGTTATAAAATATTTAATAAAATATTTATATAATAAAAAAGATTATTAATAATAAAAATTATTTTCTAATTAATAAAGATAATTATTAAATAAATAAAATATCTAAAATATATTATATAAATCTATCTAAATATAAATATATATTTATAAAAAAAAGTCTTTTTTTATATTTTATTAAATAGACCTAAATATAATTATATTCTAGAACTATTTTAAATAAAAAGATTTAATACTTAACAAGAGCTAAAACAAAAACAATTATATTTTTATATAATAAAAACTAGAATTATATAATCTAATTTAGAAAGAAAATTAAAAATAAAAATTATTTAGATTTCTGCTGCTGTTATAGATATATATATAATAATATTAATATATAAAAATTAAAAGTCTTAAAACATTTATTATTATAATAAATAATATTTAAAGAATATTTAGTCTAAAATTATTTATTTATTATTAAATAAAATTATTTAAATATTATTATAATTTTCTTTAATTTTTAAATTTTTATTTATAAATAAATTACTGTCTTACTATAATAAAGATATAAATTATAAAATTAAATTAATATAAAAAAATAAATTGGATTTTTCAAAATAAAGGTTTTTTATAAAATATATTTTATAATAAATTATTAATATTATAAAAAATACTGCCAGAATTATTAAATAAAAACTTTATTAAAATTAATTATTTATTTATTATAATATTTATTTTTTTTTATAAAAATTAGAAAAAGATCTCTGCTTCTATATAAATTATTATATATTAAATATAATTATTAAAAAAATTAATATTTTTTATCTCTGATTTATAAAATACTAAATTAGATTAAATAAATTAAATGATTTATTAAGCTTAATATTTTCTCTGTTTTTTATTATATATAATTTATTAAGAATTAAGAATAAATAATAATTTTTATATAAGATATAAATTATATAAATAATTAATAATTTTATTTAATTTTATTAATATCTTAAATATTTTTCAGAAATATATTAATTAAACTTTTAAAAAATATTTAAATAAATTCTATTTAATTTATATAAATAATATATTTATTTACTTAAGTAACTCTCTAAAGAAATATTAATAATATATATAAAGATTTATTATTAAATTAAATAAAATAAGACTATATCTAGATATTAAAAAAAATACTTTTTAAAAAAATTAAATATCTTAAATTTACTATATAAATAAAAGAAAAACTTTAGATAAATTTAATAAAAATCTAGATTATTTAAAAATAAAAACTTTTAATAATTATAAAAATTATATAAGAATTTCTTAATTTTATTAATTTTTATAAATAATTTATTAAAAATTTCTTAGAGATAGCTTAATTTTTAAATAAATTAATATAAAAAATATAATTTTTAGATAAATATTAGATTATTAAATAAATTTTAATAAACTAAAAATATTTTTTTAGCTTAATTTTAATTCTATTTTATTTTAAATATATAATTATTATAAAAATAGATTTATTTAATTATAATATAAAAAAAGTTTTTTTATAATATAATAAGAATAATATATTATAATCTTATATATATTTCTTGAAATAAAATATATTAATAAAATAAAATTATTTAATTTATAATAAAAAGCTGCTTGCTGTTATACAAAGTCTTAAATAATAATATATTAAATTATAATTAATATAAAATTTTTAAGTAATAATTAATTATAAAAATCTAGAATATTTCTTTTTTTTAAGAAAATTAATTAAATAATATATATAATAATTTCTATTTCTAAGCTGATTTAATTTCAGACTGATTTAAAAAAAATAAAAATAAGAATAAATAAATAGATATTTTATTATAATATAAGTAAGATATATTTATAAATAAGAATAATTATTTTAAGATTATATAATTCAATTATTTTTCTAGCTAAATAAGTCAGCAAGTATAGCAGTTATTTTATTTATTTTAATAAAAATTATAAATAAATTCAAGCAGATATTATATATTAATATAGAAAATTAAAAATAAATTTAAAATAATAAAAATTATATTGAAAATAATGAAAATACTAATTTAAAAATAGATAATATTTCTATTTTAATTAGATTTTATTAAATATATATTAATAATTAAAATATATATCTATTTTTTTAAAAAAAAAAGAAATTTTAAATTTTAGATTTTTTTATATAAATCTCATTTAATATATTTATAATTTAATATTACCAGATTATTTTAATTATAAAATAATATATATTTTAGTCAGCTGATAATACTTTTAATCTATAATATTAAAAAATATATAGAGATTTATAAGAAACTATAATATCTGTAATTATATAAAAGTCTAGAAAAAAAAAGAAAGAATTACTAAAATTATTAGTTATATCTGATTCAATATAAAGAAATATTATTATAAATTTTATTATTAATTCATTAAAGAGTAAAAATTAATTAAATATTCTAACAGAATTATATAAAAAATAAATAAATATTACAAAGAAAATATTTTTAAACTTAACTTTTTCAGCTATAATAACAAAGATTAAAAAGAAGTTATATTAATATATAAAAAAAATAAAAAGAACTTAATAACAAAATAATATAAAAATAATAAAACAATTAAAGAATTATTATTTATATAAAAAACAAACTCTTTATATAATAGAGATAATATATAAATTAAGAATCTTAAATCTATTTATAGATATGATAGATATATATAAAATAAAAAAAATATTATTATAGAATTCTTATATAAATTTTTTAAATCTTAGTAATTTTATAATATTTATATAAATACTTTATTTGATATACTGTAATTAAATAAATAATTAAATAAAATAAAAAAAGTATTATATAAAAAGAGATAAAAAAAT